ACACACACACACACACACACACACACACACACACACACATCAATACACTAAAATTAGCTCTTCAAATTTAATGCGTGTTATAATTGACTTGACAATGACATGAATTTCTTATAATATTATTATAATTTATTTTTACTTCTGCATGACATGACAATAACTTACAATTACTTATAACATGTATAATTAATAACTATAGTTACATTATTAAAATTAGCTTCCGATTTATAAAATTTGTAAATAAAAAAGATTAGTAACGTAATAAAATTTGCATGCCAGTTCTGGTAAAATATGAAATCTCCATAGAAAAGCAATCGTTTTTCATTGGGCTACCACCGCTCAAGGTACAAGTAATCTTACAAACAATCTCTGGTATTCATATACTCCCATACATCCCAAAATGATAAAATGGTATCATTGTACTAATGACCAACATGTGGTAACCATGATGGGGATATTTTATTCACCTTTGTAATTCTAGTAGAAATAAAAGCTTCGCATAATTTGACGTATACGCATCCTATGCGAGCCTAGTAACAACTACGCAATGTACATTTGTAAGTAATTAGTTACTTTTATTACCTTACATTATTTTTATTTGTTTCTATTATTAAGATGGAGAAAAATTATTCTACTCAATTGATATCACTACTAAATGTTAAAAGCATATATTTATTGGACGTCCAAAACAACAAGTTACTAAACGAAAAATAACGTCTTTTCTAATTTAAACTAATTTTACTATAAAATAGTAATAAATAGTGATTTCAATCTCATATATATTTGTACGTTAACAAGTGATAGGACATAGAAGTCGTATGTGTGGTGGTAAGCGACACGTCACACAGAGCTTTACAAAGATATGAGAGGCACTGCCGTTGCGCCCGTGACCCTGAGACATAACTTGACAATTTCCAGTAATTTGACCACTTACTCTTCAAAACCGAAACGTAGTAGTATGTCCCTGGACGAGTTCTTTCCTAAGGACCTCTATTGCTTCTAAAATATATAGTACAAGTTGTGAGGTCTAGTGCCCGCGCCTGTTAGTTTCTCAAGTATTAAATCCCACCACTGGGTATGGAAGTTCTAAGGAACGGGTTAAGGTCATCTTTTTCAGAGCTAAAAGTAAGTTTTTTTCTTTCGGTAGCAATGCAACCCATACCCCTGCTATACTTTTAACTGCCTCCGTGGCCAAACCGACTGCCACGCAGAGGTCCCAGGTTCGATTCTCGGGCCGGGAGAAATATTTGTATGGCCTTCATTTATTTCTCTCGTGAATTTGGGTATAATTTGTGGTTGCATATGTATGTGTACCTAGTGCGGGGCTTCGTGTTAGCTATTACTTATGCAAATAAATGAGGCCGCTTATATGCACCGCAAATTTTATTATTTTTACAGTTACAGAGTTATTTTCATATTTTACACACAGAGAAGGAAGAGGGTAACATAGTAAAGTGTCGTATGAGTCTATATATAACACTTTGGAAGAAATATATAATAGCACGATTCCTACAAATTTCCACGACAGAAAAAAACGAACTTACCTCAAAAGTTTATTAGAAAGCTGCTGTATTTAATAGCTACGTTTTATTATTAATTTGCGACGAACTTTATTATTAATTTGATTCTCATAATTCGTGTCTTTGGCACAATAACGCCACATGTGGTCGTGCGTTAAAGGTGCTTTTACCTTGTGTAAATCATAAAAATAATACGCACTACATGAAACAAATTGTTCTTGTAATATAATGTGAGTCTTATAACTGTAATAATTAGGCATAAAAAGTTATTGACTAATTTCTTTTGTAGAATCTTTTTTAGCACCGTTCCGGTTTGGAAAGGTGCTGGTGAAGTTACAGGCACATAGGACTTGTCAACTTATGTCTCAGGGTGACTGCAACTGTTATGGATAGGCCTGTTGCTTACCACTACCACTAGGTGCAGGACAGGTTCGTATTATAAAACGTTCCTTTCCTCCATCACCAGGTCACAGTCTACCTAATAGAGGCTGTCGTCATTATGCGTCTCTCCCTTTGAAATTCTGTCGATTAGTCACTACAACTTGTTAATTATTAGAACTGCCAACTGGTAGACAATGGATCTCTGTATTTCGTATTCTCTCAGGCATCTATAGAAATTCAAATCACAACCCTTTTGCTAAAATTTTACATTTTCGATTCAGAGATACAAATTTCTACGAAAATACATGTGACGCCATCTAGTGTCGAATAGTCTAAGTGTACACCGACATCTAGCGGCTAGTAGTTATGCTACTTAGACACGAACTGTTGCACAGAACTACAGGGCTTAATAGTTCTATATCTATTACATAGATGGCGCAAATTGTAAAAATATATTAGCAAATTAGAAAACGTGAACACAAAAACTATTTTTGTTTTTTATTTGTCTTCAGTAATGTATGAAATTAATGATTCTATACTCATTTCATGATCAGTGGACATTCTTAACGCAAGTTTCGTGGAATCAGCTTTCTTATTGCTCAACATGACTTCTTGTAGCGCTAAAGTACGGAGTAATTTTTCGGCTTCATTGTTTTCCCCGTCTGCTTCTATGATTCTTTCATTTATTTGATTGGATAGATTTATTTCGTCTATAGCCCGATCATCTAGATTAGTCGAATTGTTTCCTGGTTGATATTGAATATGTGTGGCATTGTAAAATGACAAAGTTCTCCTATTATTTGCACTGAAACCAGTTTGCTTAAGTTTTTTCTTTGCCAACTCTAGAAAAGCGGGTGAACGTAATGTTTCTCGCAACCAATTCTTTATTTTGTTCTTCTTGTCTTCCACTCGCGCTTTGAACCTGTGTAATATAATGTGATTGATATTTATATGCCAAGTTTTTTTTAAAGCAGTTAACGAAAAGTGGGTGAATTTCAATAAACCGGTTTCTTTCCCTAATTTGAATATTTCCTTCATATTTGAAAAGGATCACTACTGATGTACCTCGTTTCCAATAAAAAAAATCACCGAAATCGGTTCACAGATGTTTCCCACATTTGTAATTGCGTAATATATAACGAAAAGGTACGTAATTTTTTTTTAATGTCACATGCTTTTTCATTTCCTTTTTATTTCAACTAACGCTGGCAGAATGGCAATGATGCGTTTATAATCCAAACGCAGGATGAAAACTCCCATGTGTTATTTAAGCTTCAAAACTTACTTCAAAGTTTGATTTTTATACTTCGACGTTACAAAAACGTAAGTTAATATCTCTGAGTGTCACGTAGTTTTGTATTAGAAATTGTTTTTGTAGCTGTGCTGTTTTTTTGTGTCCATAGCACCCGCGACACAGGGTTTTCCCTAGTGCGGGGCTATGTTGAGTGTGTGCGTTATTATTTTTCCTAACTATATCGTATTAATAGTAATTTCACGTAAAAAAAACAACTTTTAATACCGTGGGATATCTGCGATATGCGCTTCTAATTATTTTTTTATTTAAAACGCCTTGAATTTTGGTGAGAGCAAATATTTTAAAGATCGAATTGCTCTAGTTTCAATAATAGGAATAAAATTTCAATTATATTGGAAATGTGTAATTTTGTTCAATGTAAAATTTTGTAGTTTTTGCTTTCACCAAAATTTCAGGCATTTCGGATTTACAACATTTTAGTTAAGGAAAAAACTATAATTGACTGTTTTAAGGAAATTTTCGATTTTCTTTTTAAGCTACATTTTGGAAAAGCGCCAAAGTTACGTAAATAGAAAAGTTACGTAAATAGTGTTTGAAGTGCTTGTTGTTAAAATCGTGTTTATAAATATTTGGTATTTTTGAGTTATAATCATTTTCGTAAGTTCTAACTATAAAAATCGTAGAACGTTGAAGTAAGTTCCAAAACCTTAATTATTAATACAAAGATCCGAACACTCAGAAAAAATTCCTTCGATCCGGCCGGATTCGAACCGACGTCTTCTAGCTTACCTTCCAAATCCTTGTAAAGTTTTCTACACACCCAGCCCGCCGAACCCGGCGACGCAGTTCGGCGGGATGATGTCGGCGGCCTTATTTCTAATCTAATCCTATGACATGATTCTAGGAGGGCTGTGTCGCCGGGTCAGTGTGTAGAAAGCTTTAGATTGGCACACAGTAGTTATTCGTCTCTCGTTTAAAATAATAAAACGCATTATTTGCTTTACTCGAAATGTCCGGTCTGCCAAGATTTTTATATGAAACCAGTACTGTTAACACACAAAATTAGGTACCAGGCGCACATAAGTGTGAGAAGAAGAAGACACGACAGAAGAGGAGACGGAAAAGTCTTAATAAAAACCTCCCAATTTCATAAATCTAGAAAAAATTGTGAGACTTAAGAATTATTATTATAAACGGTTATAGGCATTGACTTACAATTATATGGACGTCGGGTCCGCGTTAAAAAGTGTCCGAACTTATAGGGCGTTAAAATCGTATACAGAGCGTCATTCACGCTTTAGTCTTCGTTTGTTCGACTGACAGCGAAGCAAGCAAAATTAGACAGTACTGCGATGACATTACAATTTAAATCCAACGTTTTAGCTTTTTCATATTCCTTTACATGTCACTACGTTTAAATAGGTTGACTTGGGACATATTTTTCGTGGTTTTTCTATTAGACCCGTCGTCCATTTAATTGTAAGTCAATGGTTATAGGTGTTGATGTCATTACCATATCCACAGCCATTGTACCAGCTTACTGAAAGATGCTCAAGGATTTATATGTGTGTAAAATAGACGACCTCATCGTTCGGTCAAAAAAGATTTTTTTTTTTTCTAAAAAAGATTCTAAAAACCTGACATATCTATTTTGCCGTTGACCAAATTTCATTCAAATTTCTTTCATATTTCTTTCAATAAAGTATTGTGATAATAATGATTGTAGGTAGGTACTAACTCTTAAAAAAAAGGTACTCACTTCTGTAGTTCCTTTTCTCTTTGCCTAGCCTTTTCAATCTTTTCCCTCAACTCAGGCACATCACTAGCTTCGTTCTGAGTTATAGTGTTCTCCACCCAATCTGTGATGGTCGAAACTCGGCTGTAAACTCCAGGCGATCGGGGGTCACCACATTGTTTGCCCCCGAAGGAGACTATGCCTAGAAGAACACCATCCCGAACTGCTGGGCCACCGGAGTCGTGCTGTAGAAGAGTATAATTCAGTATAACTTCAGATTATAACTCAAAACAGATCGTTGTTGTTGACATAAATATAAACAAACGATGCAGTATCGGTCTGGTATTGCAAAAATGCAAGAATAAAACTAAGACAGATTTTGGGCAACAATAATTGGAATATGTTTTTACCTTTTTTGTTTAGTGCCATCACGTTCATGCAATACATTGTACTTACGTTGCAAGCATCCTTCCCACCTGTAGCATAACCAGCGCATAACATTCTTGGCGTGATGTAAAAGCGGTACGACTTTTGGCAATCATTGATCTTCATCACCGGCACTGGCACGAACCGTAGTCGATCCGGAATGTGGCCATAACCAGATTCCTGTAAATAAATTAATAAGAACGCCACCAATTACCTGACTTCCTAAGTAGATACTTCCTCCTCGACAATAGACGATACCTTCCACACCAGAATTTAATTTGGCGTTGCTCCTTCAATTGCAGACATTAAAACAAGGCAGAATGTTTATTATACAAAGCACAATAGTCTTTCTTTTCCAGGTTTTGTTTTTTATTTATTAGATAAAGCACATTTGCGTGTGCAAAATCTTTCTCATAGACGTAATATGCTGTCATTGGACCTGAATTATATCATATCGAAAATCAATATCATCGCATAGGTACCTCTATCCGTTGAGGAACGGCCGAGCATCTCCGTTCAGAACACTTGACAAATTGGTTCAACCCATAAATCCAATCCCGGCAGAGCCCATACAACATTTGAATACTTTATACTCGAACTTTAAGTCATCAAGGTTCTCAAATGAACTTACGTCAGTACTACCCCATCCTGACACAATCAGTATGTCCTCCTCTTTCATGAGGTATTCCTTTGAAGGCAGGTTCAGCACGGCGATGTTCCGTCCAATGGGCATTGGCCTATCCAATCTAAGCAGAGAAAAGTCGTAATCTGCGCTGCCAGGAACGTATTCTTTTGGGAAAAATACCTGAAACAGGACCCAGATCTATGGATCACATAACATGAGTTGCCTCAAAAAGCTTGTCTTCTACTCAGAAAGCAAAATCAATCTCCCTAAATATAATAGGTTGGCCACAGAGTATGATTTTTACGCGCATTTTAAGAGCAGGTGAGAAAAATTTCAAGTTCGGTTCGGTTGTAAGCTCGGTCGTTGCATAATTCGTTGAATTATAAGATGGCAAGAGGTTGTAGATTGACATGGCCAATAACATCACATAGTTCTTGACCAACTCAATACTTTAATATGTCCTCACTGAGTTGGAGACGGAATCAGTAGTTTTGAAGGGTAAGAGTGCTGGTGAAATCAAAAGCTCATGAGACTTGTCAATTTATGTCTCAGGGTGAGCGCGGTGTTTGCGATTTATAGTTCTGAGTGTCACTGCAACTGCTATGGACAGGCGTGTCGCTTACGACCAGGCGCATGAGATATTTGTCTTGTCACCTTAGTCTCATGGAAAAACGTTTCACGGGATTTTGTTATGATAACACATGTACCTTGTTAACCCTAGCTTGATATCCCCCTCGATTGTGAAAAGAGCTCCCAGCTCTGACTATAAAAGGCATTAGTTTCTTTTTGTCGTCGTCTACAGCTCTGGAACATAAAGACAATACGTATAGTCACGTCTACAAAGGCTTTAGTATTTAACTTTAACACCCTTTGTTCATGCGCTTCAGCAACGTAAGTTCTTTCGTGTTTTCGTTATCTACTCAACTGCTGAGCTAATTTGAAAAGCAATGCTAGAGTTAAGGAGTACTAGGCGAGCAGAAATTAGCAGCAATTTACCAAATTCTTCAGGGTAGGTAATAACTTATTAATGGTATACAATGATTGGACTCGGGAATCAAGGAGATACTCACGACTCTAAACAATGTCCAGCCGTAAGCACCCATTGCTCATCAATTATCGACCCACCGCACCAATGCTTAGTGTTCCTCGATATGGCCACATTGTACGGGTACATGCTGATGCTGGTTTCCATTCCCCCAACAATACGCCGAACAGCGTATGAGCGGAATGCCCAGGCTATTTGGCGGTCGTCGTTGGCTGGAATTTCTGGAATTGGAAATTGGATTAAAATTTCGAACTCCCAATGTCTTATGAGCGTTTTTCCACTGGTTCTTTGTTACCAGTTATGAAAGCTATAAAAATGCTTTGCTACCGCGTTCTCTTCGTATACTTTATTAAAATGAAAATAAAAAGTAAAGTCTTTAAGAGGACGGCTTTGTTCATTACACCAGTCAGTCACATTGTACACAACAAGTCCAATAATCAGGTAAACAAAAGAATATAAAACAACCGTTCGTCAGTCTGACACCGTAAGCTCCCTTAAAAGTCACAAGAAATCTTTAACTGTCTTCATTAAAGCTGATAAACATTTTTGATGAACATTTGTCTTCAGAATACTTGTTATAATTATTAACACAAAGATCCAACACAAAGAAACATCCTCTGTCGCTGTTGCCCTGTATTAGAATATAGACACAGGTTCGATTCCTGACATATTAAAGGAATTCTTCTTTGTGTTCGACCTTTGTGTTAATAATTATAACAATCTAGTGGAGTAATTTTACGCAAAATAAATGAATCTAGCAGGATGACCAACACATATAAAATACATTAATTGTACTCTTGTATCCTAAACATTCTTACGAAAACTAACAAAACATTGACCTATATATGTATGAGTCTGGGGAAATCTTACAAGCGTGATTCGGATATTTCATAAAACGTTACTAATGCCATTTAGTAATAAAAAAAACAAACAACCTATTTGCATATTTGCTTACTACATTATACCGAAAATTAACTGAATGTTATTTCTGTCATTAACTAAGGTAAACGATTCTTTTATGGGGAACTGTATACGTTTTTACAATAAGATTCTGGATCATACATTAAGATTATCATTTCTTAAATTTCAAACTTACATTAAAAGTATTTTAATTGCAAAGTCATATTACAAAATTGATGAGTATGTGTCAGATAAAGATGGAAAGACAACACGTTCCAAATTATGATTCAAAATGTATTCCATAGCATTTATGTTTATTTGAAAAGAGCAATCCTTAGACTTTCTTGCTCGTTCTTCTCAGGGAACTCAGAGTAGTGAACGAGCAGTAGCTTAAATGTGATGTATTCTAGTGTAAGTTTATTTTACCTATGGAATAAATGATTCTTTAAGTTTAACTACGAGGAAAAAGGGACTTAAGCATGCGCTCAGAGAGGTGAATATTTTCACCATCAGTTTTATTACGTTATTACGTTGCTCGCCATGTGCAGTTGTGCGGAACCGAATGCTGGAGTTGTACAAGGATTGTAATGTGAATGAAAGACTTCTCTGAGTGCTTGCACTGTCAGTGATACACTCAGCGGTAGGCACTTATCGCGTAACCTCGAGCGAGTGACGGAGTCCTGCTTAGACATTTGACAAAAGAAGAAGTCAAAATGTGTTAAATTTGAACTACCTAACGTAAAATCGACTAGTTCAAGCATAGAAAAAAAACGGAGAAAAGTTAGACCTTGTTAATAAAGCAGTTTTCTTGGGAGTGACCTTAGATAGTAAACTTCAATGGTTTCCACTTATATTTTCCCTGGCCAACAGATTAAGCTCCGCTGCATACGCAGTTCGCAGAATACGTGAGCTTACTGATGTTAGTATTGCTAGACTAGTTTACTTTAGTTACTTCCATAGTATAATGTCCTACGGGATTCTCATGTGGGGTAAAGTGGCATATATTCAAACCATATTTGTATTGCAAAAACGATCGATTCGTTCTGTGTACCGTCTAGGCTCTCGGGTTTCTCTCAGAGAAAAGTTTAAGGAGACTGGTATCATGACTGTGGCATCACAGTACATACAACTCAAATATTTTATATGCCCGTAAAAATATACATAATTTCAATAAGAAAGAAGATATCTATAATATTAACCTAAGAGCTAAGTCCAAACTCATGGTACCACGATTTCGTTTAACCAAGGTAAACAACTCTTTTATGGGGAACTGTATACGTTTTTACAATAAGATTCCGGAGCATATATTAAGTTTATCGTTTCCTAAGTTTAAAAACTACATTAAAAATATTTTGATCGAAAAATCATATTACAATATTGAAGACTACGTGTTAGATAAAGATGTATCGAAAGACGACAGGGCTCCAGAATCCACACAAATTTGATTCAAAGTATATTCCATAGTATTTAAGTTTATTGGAAAAGAGCAATCCCTAGAGTTTCTTGCTCGCTCTTCTCAGGGAGGTCAGCGTAGTGAACGAGCAGTAGCTTAAATGTGACGTTTTCAAGTGTTATTTTACCTATGGAATAAATAATCTTTGACTTTGACTTTGACTTTGACTTTGACTGGACAGACGAGCACTCGGTAGCGAATGGATTTTAATTCCATCAATGGAAAATTAATTAATTCTCCGGAGTGAAACTCAACATCGTATTCTGCTGTCATTTTAAGTATGATGACAGACATTTCCTGATTACACGGTCAACCCTTATTTGAAAGCATCCTTCCAATTTATTACGATTATCGTTAGGTATCTATATCCACATAGACATATCTGGATTTTTTAAGTCGCGTGCGAGATAAATACGTCAAACAAGTCGAAGAACTTTGCTACAAAACGAAATAAATAAATATTAGACATTTTTGTCTCATTTGCGGTGTTGTATGATTGAAGAATTGAAGTTTTTTTTATTGCGCTGTATATATTATATATTTGACCTCCATCTCACCTAAAGGAAAGTGACGATGAGGTCGGCGCTGGAGCACGCACATGTAAATAACGCATATTCACTGTCGCCTTGAAAAGATACAAGTTACAACATTCAGAGAATAAGTCTGCAAGCAAGGAATTTCATTTCATAGCCGTTCACCATATAAATGAGGAAGCGAAACCTTGAAATATCCACAACTTAGGGGTGGAACCCCAGCATGAGTCTATTCCCCCGGTGGTGGAAACGGGAAGGCAATTAAATCGCGCAATTCCAACGCACATTCTCTGTGATACATGCTGTAGAATACCGATAAGCAGCATGCAAGGCTTCACCTCTATTAATTCGGAATCACCTTTAAGCTTCTTGGCAAGCTTTTAAACTAAAGTTCTAAGTCTACATAAAAGACTGAAGTAAAACAATGAAAAACGATTCATTATAACGAGAGATAAGCTTTCCATTACGAAGAAAAAGACGTACTGGCTACAAAACAAAATAATCGAAAAAGAGCTGTATGGATAACATATTAAGATTAGGCGCTAAAGAAGACCTCGCAATAGAGTGGAACGCATGATGTCACAAGAAGGATCAATCATATTTCACCTAGAGATTGAACATTATGATAACAATTTATTTTAAAAACATGTGCATGGTATAATATAAAACGGTTTGTACAGAATACTGAGTTATAGAGAATTATTATTGTAATTTTCATAGTGTTTGTGAATAATTGTCAGTTAAAATATCTTGAATTTTTTTTGCTGGTAAATGCAGATTTACTAACAAGAACATAAAAATAAACGATGGTAAATTTTTAACGTACCACCTTCTTTTGCACTTTCTTTCCCTTTAACCTGTGTTATCCGATACCTGGTTGAGGTTTGGTCATTCCTGAATTTATACTTCTCTTCTAAAAGTTGCTTAATATCATCATCGTTTTCGCCGTCCCCATGTCTTAAAATATTTAACGAAGCGAAGGTTTTCGGAGCTTCACTAATTTTTTGTGTATCCTCTTCAGCTCTCGTAATAACGAACATTAGTAAAAATTTTAATAAAATTAAATGTGGTTTGATTATAATATTTGACATTGTTTTTATATATTTTACTCTTTCTTTTTCTTATTCATGTTTCTCATTTCTAATATTAATTTCCCTGTCGTTAATAAGTTTTCGAAGACGATTGATAAGATGGTTTTTATGGCTTTTTTAGTGTTGCCTAGCAATTTCATTATCGACTTACGAGATTCTTTTAAGTCTGTATTATGTAATATGTTTATGTATCAATTCAGCGAAGTTATTTTACGTTTATAATGTTAAGGTTGTATGTGTCTATTTCTGAATATGACAAACAAATCGATTTTTTCTCTCTCTTTTGCTTTTCATTTGATCCTGGGAAGTCCCGATCCTGACGACTTCATCAATCTCGCTACTCCACGCGAATGATCGACCGAAAAGATTCTTCCCTATAGCATGGTTCCATGCCCAACTGGGCGCCCTTAGGCCAGCTGCTTAAATGTTTATACCAGTTAAGATCTTTCAGCTCATGTTTTTGTCCGGTGGCGCAGTCAAGGCTATCACCGGCCAACTGCAAAAGGTCCTTAATAAAAAAACTTATTTTCTTTGACCATCTTCCTCGGGCTTTTTATTCTGTCATCATTATTATTATCATCCAAGAAACATATATTTTTCTTCAGGCCAGATTTTCTTTGGTCTTCCTCCATGACCTGTATGACATGGGGTTCTTCAAAAAGCGTGTCAACAGGACTTTCAAAGGTTGGCAACGCATAGGCAGCTCATCTGATGTTAAGCGACTATGACCACCTCCCATTAAGGGGTTCGTCTGCTCGTTTAGGTTCGTTTAGGTAGCTATACTGCTCCTAATTCAACCAAGTTCCTTGGGAAAGAGTTCGTCTAGAAAAGTACTGCCACATTGCCCAGAGACAGAAATCTGTCGCCAAGCTGTTATGTGAGCGTTTCTGTCTTCCGGTTTTCACAGTGACATTACAGTCACGGGACTTGTCAACTTATGTCTCAGGGTGACAGGCGCAGTGGAACTGCAACTGCTATGGACAGGCGTGTCTCTTACCACCAGGCGCACGACTTGTTCGTCAAAAAAAAAAAGCTTGTCTGTCCAGCTAGTTGAATCTGTGGCTTCATTCTAATCCACGCCTTCCAGCTGATATATTACTGTGTATAAATTGTTGCTTTTTTCATCGCTGCGTACCCAGATGCGGCTTTTACCATTTTACGGCGGCCATTTTTCCAATTCGCACAAAGCGTTTTGCTTCCACGTTCATTATGCGAATAGCTAAGGCGTGGAATTTCGGCTTCTATATTTAATGTGATCCGATATATTTTAGGCGTATATGTAACGTCTTCGCCCACATTTTCCATCAGGTGAGATTGTGTAATCCATACCATCCTTACTACTGATACTGGTTTTGATAAATGTACTCGTACTAGGTAAGTGATTGTAAGAGTAACCATGTCAACACACTACTTTCGCAGTTCGGTGAGAAATTGTATTATGGTTTCTTATTTGTACGAAATAAATAAAATAAATAAATAAATTTATTAAGGTAAGGTGTTTCTTTTTTTACATTATTTTCTTTTATATTATATGAAGTGACGGAACGAGTAAGTTGTGTGCCTGGTGGTAAGATGCACGTCTGTCCACAACAGTTGCAATGACACTGAGAGTTTTAAATGGCAAAGATCATCGACACCCTGAGATATATTAAGTTGATAAGTCCCATGTGATTGTTATTTTACGAGCACCCTAGCCCTTGAAAACTGGAACGCAGTAATGCTGACATTACTGCTTGGCGGCAGAAATAGGTAAGGTGGCCTTCCCAGGACGAACTCTTTCACAAGATGTTCAACTGCTAAAAGAAAGAAAGCCCTGCTGCTAAGTTTATTTAATATCACGATGTTCTACTATCCTATCGTTAAATTCTTTTTTGTGAAGTTGGTCCACTAATACCATTGACTTACAATTATATGGACGTCGGGTCCGCGCTAAAAAGTGTCCGAACTTATAGGGCGTTAAAATCGTATACAGAGCGTCATTCACGCTTTAGTCGTCGTTTGTTCGACTGACAGTACAGTACAGTTAAATTCAACGTTTTAGCTTTTTCATATTCCTTTACATGTCACTACGTTTTAAATAGGTTGACTTGGGACTTTTTTCGTGGTTTTTGTATTAGACCCGTCGTCCATTTATTTGTAAGTCAATGACTAATACCAATAATTATTAATACAAAGATTTGACATTCTTCTTTCTTCACTCACACTGGCGATCATCGGCAGTGTCAGTGAAGAATTACTATGTAGTCATTTATAATCTTCTGTTAATGTTGTCATTTCGCAGATGTTGCGATTTGCTTTTTTTTAAGTTGCCACCCATTTTTTTTATAAAACCTTTACTTATTCAAAAGTAAGCAAAGGTTTTATATACAGCCTGTTCATAAAATATATTAATATTTTTCATTGTTTTAATGAAAATAGCGACAAGGGCATGTTTTTCTTAAATTTTCCTGTATTAAGTTAGAATCAGTTCATGCTTTCACTGAAAAATTAAAAAAAAAACCATCGACAACATATCGATCTCTGGATACAAACTCCAGTTTTATAGGGTCGTAAACCTGTAATCATGTGGGTGGTTTAATGTTAGTAATTAATTATGTTTTTTACTATTCAATTGCACTTCAAGATCAAACAGGCTTTGATGTTCAAATAGTTAATGTAACGAACTGGTCGCTCTTGGTTAATATTGATAACATAATACAATATATGTAACTCTTTATTGACTTACAAATAAATGGACGACGGGTCTAATAAAAAAACCACGAAAAAATGTCCCAAGTCAACCTATTTAAACGTAGTGACATGTAAAGGAATATGAAAAAGCTAAAACGTTGAATTTAAATTGTAATGTCATCGCAGTACTGTCTAATTTTGCTTGCTTCGCTGTCAGTCCAACAAACGAAGACTAAAGAGTGAATGACGCTCTGTATACGATTTTAACGCCCTATAAGTTCGGACACTTTTTAGTAAGTCAATGTAACTCTTACTTCATCATGGATTTAAGACGTGCTTGTTTCTAATCATTTTTTGTTTTTTTTTCTTTTGATGAAACTTTACCTGACTTGTAATTTATTTAAATCAGTTAATATATACTGGACGGTGTTCGATCGCTGCACATCTAATACATTTATTTAAAAAAAACTCTATTTATTATATTATTATTGTTATTTACAAATTATAGAAGCGGTAAAAGTTCTTTTGCTAGATCAAATAGTAAAATAAAATAGTCTAGGTATTTACTATTAAATAGAATAGAACTAGAATAAAACTGAAATACACACACTCAACATAGCCCCGCAACATAGTCGCGGGTGCCATGGACACACACATAGACAACCACAAATTACACCCAAACTCACGAGAGAAATAAATATAGGCCATACAAAAATCTCTCCCGGCCCGGTAATCGAACCTGGGACAATACACACTGGGGTAACATTTCGGCCACTGAGGCAGTTAAAACGAAATAAATATAAAGTAAAAACGAATTATTTAAGAATAATTTAATATCTAACTTTGTACATATTACGTGTTTATTTACTGTTCTTATTTAGTTGTGATGTAATGAGATATATGTTTGAATGTATGCTTTGATAGATGCAGTCAAGCCTGGTAAAGTGTTCTGTAAATAGTAACTTAATGTCTAAATTGTATATTGTTTGTACGTTACTATATGTACTTTAGTGAAATAGATAAATTGAAACTTGAGCAAACGAA